CTTTCCTAACCAGCTGTGGGAGGTGGAGGGAGGGGGAGTGCCTACTTACCAATAAGGTCCAGGAAGGAGAGGCTGATCAGTAAATTAGCAGCCCAGTTAAAGCTGTTACAGAAGGCAAAGGCTCTTCCTCTTATCCCAGCAGGGTAAATCTCACTGAGGACCAGCCAGGTCACTGCATGGATTAGAGAGATCAGAAAGACAGTGTGGGAGTTAAGCAATTTGTTCGGGAAATGGGCAAGGGAGGTTTCAGCAGGGGGTTTAAACTCGCGCCTGCTGCTGGTGGTGTCAAACATTCATTGACCTCAGAGACAGGGCACAGGAGAACACTTCAAACCTCCCGTGTTCTGCACTGCAGGAGGAATGAAACAGCAATGAACAGGCACAGGGAGCAAAGAAGAAAGTGGAGGAGTTTGTAATTCCATCCACGGGACATGGAAAAGATCTGCTGTCAGGACATGCTCTTTGCAAAAAAATGAGAAAGGGGTGGAATTAGGGAAACAACATTGCATTTGGGCTAAAATCAGAGTTAAAGCAACATATGCCTTCAAGAACCCTCTCCTATCCTGGGGTTATTTAGTTTGAAATAATTTGCAGGGTCACTGTCAAACCCAGAAGACTTGCCCACTTATATATTTCTCTTGAGTCAGATGATGTTTTCTCCCATCAAGGCATTTAAATGTCAGAAAATAGTAGAGCTCACATGGAAGCAAGACCTAATCTTTAATCTCATCTGATGAAAAATAATGATTTCAGAAAAAAAAACCAACAAAACAACGAAACTGATACTGAGAAACTTTCAAAGAGGTTTCACTTCCAGTTCTGCACTGACTTCCCTGTCACACAGCAGAAGCCCCTCAGTCCCTCTGCCCTTAGCCTTCTTTTTTTCTCCTTCCCAGGGTGCAGCGCTTGTGGGATACTCTGATTTTGCAATGAGTTCCACAGAAAAAAAAAACATTACAAGGGTAGTTACAGCATGGAAGAGGAAGCTATTCCAGTGCTGTACCAGCCCTGTAGCTGGCAGAGCTGCAGTGCTAGAAAGTGATTCAGTGGGCAGATGGGGACATATTTCCAGTTCCCAGACACCAAGCTGCTTGGTACAGCAGACACATAAGGAATGTTTCCAGCAGGCAGCTTGCAGGTCAGCCCTAATTTTATTCTCTAGGTTAGTGCAAAGATATATAAACACCACACTTACTTGGCCCAAATCCAATTGAAAAGGCACTCACGAAAGCCATCATGCTCAGCAGTGTAATCCAATTTAAGACCGTATGTTGTGCCCAGGGAGCACCAGTGAGAGGAGGGCCCGTGCTTCCCACTGTCCCTTTTGTGGACTGGCCCACCAAGTCCCTTTTCTGCGTGAGGGAAGAATTGGGAACAACCTCTTTGCTTTGGGTACTGGCAAAAACTTTTGCAAGGCTCCTTGTGGCAGCAAAACCAGGGGCTGCCTGACTTTTGACAGCACCCGATGCTGGTGGGAGGGGTGACGCAGCAGACTGGGGGAATGCAGATGTCAGGGGGTGCTGAGTGAGGCTGAGGGACGCGTTGGGGTCGGCGGGTGCCTTGCAGTCCCTGGCCATGGCCAGCGGGGCCATGCGGCTGGTGAGGCCGATGGTGGTGACCGAGATGGCCATCACCACACAGCCAGCCAGGAGCAGCACTCTCCTGCCAGCCTTGTCTGCCAAGGCCATTGCGACCAGCGTGGCCACCACCTTGATCGCTCCCAGCCCAACTGAGGCCAGGATTGCCGAGGAGTTGCTCTGGAACCCCACCGAGTGGAAGATTTTGGAGGCATAGCCCAGCACATTGGGCTGCCCAGTGAACTGCTGGAAGAGCACCAGTCCCAGGCCCACCAGAGTCCGCCTTCTCATGTTGTCTCTGGTCCTGAAAAGGTCAAGGAATGAGTAATGCTTCCCCTGACAGGGCTCCCGCTTTGCTGCCGCTCTGTCCTCAGTGTCCTGCAACGGAATGAGGCCCTTCTGGCAGTCTGAGTCCCACGAGCTTAATTTAACAGGGTTCACTGGGAGAAAGAGGATGCTGAGGAACTGCATGGCTGTCGGGGCAATGGCCAGCCCAAACATGTACCTCCATCCCTCCTCCACGTCCGCAAAGACGTAATTCAGCGCGTAGGACAGCAGGATGCCCCCGGTGATACCGGCTTCGTAGAGAGACACCAGCAGCCCTCGCCGGTGAGCAGCCACCATTTCTGAGACGTAGATGCAGCAGGCCATGGATGAGACAGAGATGGCAAAGCCCACGGTCATGCGCCCAATGACCAGCACCATAAATGACCTGGCCAGCGTGAGGATAAGGCTGCCAACCAACAGGACCACGTTGCTGACCAGGATCGCTCTCCTCCGGCCGTGGCGGTCGATGAGCACCCCCCCGGCCAGAGAGGCCAGCAGTGCTCCGATGAGGACGGCGCTCACGACAACTTCTTGCTTGAAGCAGCTGAGGTGAAAGTCCACCTGCAACTGCAGCAGTGCACCAGAGATTATCCCCAGCTCGTACCCAAATATCAGCCCGCCCAGGAGAGACACCGTTGCGGACAAGAGCAGGACCATCACTGCACGACCTGGAAGACAAGAAAGTAATGCCAAGTTCAGTTTTCTGATGCTAGCAGGGCAGCTATCAGCATGCACAGGCTGGAAAAAGCTCTCCCAGGACACCCACAGTTTTCCATTTACAAAGCCACGGTGCAGCATTTCCCCACAGGTCACCAGGTCACATGTAGAGAGACACTTGCAGACAGTCACACAACCCACCAGGCAGAGGCACTCATTTGGGGTGCAGAACTGTGAAATCAGGGCTTTGTTAACAAAGTTAAGACATGTTTTTAAGTAGAGGGCAGTGATTTGTAGTGCCTGGAGTTATACAGGGGGATCCTCTGTAGTCTCCCTGGATTCAAATTACAAAACCTGTTCTGAGCAGGAAATGCAGCTTCTGCTTTCAGGTCATGAGTTATTCTGCATTATCATTTTCATGTTTCAGTGCACGTGGCACTGAGCCTGCAGCCTCTACGTTCTCACTTCTGACCTTGGCATTAAAAGCCCTGCTCACAAAAGTTTATTTCTCCCACTTAATCTTGCACTCTTGCCATGACTTTGTGGGGTGGCCCTGATTTCTTCATCTGTCCTTCTACAGCCCACAGCACCCAGGATCCCTGAGCCATGCACAGCCTCCTCAGGCTGGTCCAGGACCACAGGACAAGCTTCATCATGAGCTGAAAACCTCACTGTTACCAGCCCCAAATACAAAAAGTGACTTTTTGACCTTGCCCATCCCATACAGATGAGAGTACAAGTTGAGTTTAGCTAAAATAAAATAAATAAAAAAACCAAAAGCTAGCAGCAAAAGCAACCCAAACCCAAAGCTACCCGGCCTAAACAACCCTACAAAAGCAAGGTTCTGCCTGCATATGCTTCTCACCATGGGGAAGGGATGAAAGGGTGACCATGTGAGAACCATGAGCCATGTTACAGCAGCAGGGATTGCACTGGTGCCAGAGCCAGCATGATGTAGGGATCTCTGGGAACAGCAGTGGCAGTGACCTCCCCTCCAGTTACAATTTTGAAGCACAGGTAGAGTGCATTAGCTCTGAGGTTTGTGCTGGTTTCCAGCACGTAATTCTATCTGTACTCTTTTGTTTAATTAGAAATATTCACATTTTCTGTAGACTGCATGTGGAAAAAATGTGGACACAACCACCAGACCGTGGAAACTTTTCTCACCCTGCCTAAGGGCTTTTTTCCCCCTCACAAGCTGTGTTTAATAGGAAGTGTCTCTGCTTGGCCTTTAATTACAGTTAGCAATAAAGATTTCTCAGTGATGGCTGTACATAAATACAAATATTTGTATTTATTCTGTAACCCTCTGTGTTTCATTTGTGTTACTTATGCCATCCCAGTTACCCCAGTCCCTCTCACCATGCTTTGTGTGACCACCCACACTGCTTTTAGCACTCCTTGTGCACATTATGCAGATAATTAGAAAATTATCTGCTGAGAACAAAAGGCGTAAGTGCCCATCCCATTAGTTCCAAGCCACAAATTCTACTAGTCACAGAGAGTCCCACTATAAATACCACAGCTGATTTCATCAGGTTTTGCTGCATTTCTCGTTAACTTCATGAGCAGTCATGGTTTGTGAACTTTGACTGAAATCCAGTTTCTATACAGTCTGTTCTGACATAGCTGGGAAATTCGAGGACTCTTCAGATCTCCACTTGAGGACAGAAGGTTTGGTGGGTCTCGGGAGGAGCTGTGGCAGGCGATTCCCTGCCTATGGCAAACTGGTCATCGGGTCGTGCTCCGGGACAGGGCAGTGACCGCCGGGCTGGGGCTGGGGCTGACTTCGGACTCTGCCCACACCAACGCCAAGGCCAGGGAGCGCCGGACCGCTGCCTCCAGCAAATCCCGCTCCACAGCAAATCCTGGTCCCTCCACACTCCTTGTACCCCGCTCTCCCTGCCGCCGGAGCGCTCCTGGGATGGCCCCAGGACCGAGCCGCAGGAAATTCCTCGGCTCTTGCGTTCGCTGTATGTGCTGCTGGGAGCGCTAAAAAAAAAAACCAAACCAACACCAAACCAGAAAGAAAGGGGGAAGGGCGTGGGATGCAGCCCCAGCCTTTAGGAAAAGTTGAAAACTTTTCTCTTTTTCCTTCAGGGAACTTTTTTTCCCCGGGGCAGCGCCGCTCGCCCGCCCCAGCCCCGCAGAGCCCCGTCCCGGAGGGGCTGTGGCAGCAAACCTTCTATGACACCCCCCCTCCGCCTCCGCGCCCCCTCGCCCGGCCCCGGCCGCACTCACCCATGGCCCGGCGGGGCTAGCCCCCCGCGCTCCGCGGGCCCGGGAGCGCGCGGGGCGGAGGGGGCGGAGCGGGGTCCGGCGGCCGGAGCGGGGCCGAGCCACGTCGTGCCCGCCCGTGCCCCCGGCCGGGCAGGCCTGTACGGCTTGTAGTCGCCCTGCCCGGGGGTCCGGGCCGGGGGAGCTGCACCGCCTTGCGCGATGGGCGAGGGGTCCCCGGGCGAGGCGGAGCCTGATCCGCGGGAATGGGTAGCCGCGCGGGAAAGCGGGCTGGGGCATGGTGAGCGCGCCGGAGGCTGCGGGGTGGCCGGGGAGGCCTTTACGGAGCTAGTCGCTTCTGGAAACGAGGATATGGCTTTCGTGGCTGGAATGACAACTCTGTCCCCATTCTGTCTCATTTGAGCCAGGAACAGGAATCTCCTCGCTGCCTGCTGACCTGCTCTTGTTCAGAGCTTCTCCCCCCACCCCAGGCGAGAAAGCCTCTGGTAAGTCCACAGGAGTTTGTTAATGATTTGAGGTAGCTCGGCTGGAAAGCCAAAGAAGCCTGCTAGGAAAGGGGTGACCATTTCAAAGCTAAAACTAAAAGGGCAGCAGGGGAGGTTTAGGTTAGATGGCAGGAAAAGGTTTTTCTCCCAGAGGGTGGTTGAGCACTGGAACAGGCTCCCCAGGGAGGTGGTCACAGCACCAAGCCTGACAGAGTTCAAGAAGCGTTTGGACAACACTCTCAGGCACATGGTGTGACTGTTGGGGTGTCCTGTGCAGGGCCAGGAGCTGGACTCGATCCTGATGGGTCCCTTCCAATTCAGCACATTCTATGATTCTGTGATTAAGTTTGCACTCTTAACTTTCACTGGGACAGAAAGGATCATCTCTTGAGCTGATCTCCTTCCCCCTGCACAGTGCTCCCTCAGACAAAGCATTTCAGTATTCAGCTTCCCTTGTAATTAACATACTTTTTCTGCTGAGTGGAACAGGAACCTTCCTGCTGTCCTGCATAAAAGACACCGGGACTTGCACTTGGATGCAAGATTTTTTTCTGAGTCTGAGGCTAATTTCATGTATCCCTAAGTCCAGTTTGCTAAACAAAACATGATACACCTCGAAGTGCTTTCAAAACTCTTTACCACAATATGCAGACATTCTCCCTCGGTGCTGTTCGTGCAAACAGCAGCTGCTGGGCGGGTTGAGCTGTGCTGAGGTGCACGAGATGTTCAGAAGTTTGCTGTGACCCAGCTGGCGTGGGGACCAGCGAGGGAAGATGTGGTGTCACAGCATCCAGCAGGGAATGCCCCTGAAGGGGAGGTGCACATGACCATGAACCTGCATTGCGAGCTGGCAATTGACTGCTGGTAACATTTTGTTTAATACTTACACTAAATTTTAGTATTTAAGATGTTATAACCACACAAGCTCCAGAGCAGCAGTCTGTGGAGTCTGTGCTGGTGAAGCTCTTTGTCACAGTACAAAGTTGAATTGGGACAGGTCTGCATCCGTGACCATTGTGCCTGTGGTGCAGGCACACCCCTCTGACACAGACAAAAATAAACAGGTTGGGTGAAGAATAAAGAACACAAGAACACTTTTTTCTTTTTTTAAAGAGCCCTTTCAGTCACCCCACATTTTGACTTAATAGGCCATTTAAGAGAAATATTTAAATAATTATTATTATTCTAACTATGGGGATACATTTCTTGTCTCTGCTCTGCAGACCAGTGGTACCAACCCTTTTTTTGTTCCAACTCATAGTTTTGGGATGCTTGAGATGGGCCATGTTGGATCATGTGTATCCTTTCAACTTTAGTCTGTTGGATATCTGGCTGCAACATGGGCAGCAGCTGATCAAACATTTTGGCTTTGTTTCTTCTCCAAGTTATATATGAAAAGTGTTTCAAACCATCTACCTGGCTTACAGATTAAATAAATGCTTCCCATTCATATGCTCTAATTTCAATGCAAATAAAGTATGTAAAAATAGTTTTTCTAAAACCTTGTATCTGATACAGACTGACATTTTGGGTGAGCTGTGCTGTGAATTGGAGATGTCACCCATGCATGGTTCCCTACTATGCAGAGAGCCAGAGGGGACCCAGAGTCCTCATCAGGCACTGGGCAAAACCACCCTTGGCTACTTGATCTGCAATTTCCCTGAATAATTCCTTCCTTCCGAACTTAATTCAGCGTGAGAAGGAAGAAATTATACTTTTCTCCATGGTCGCTCAGCTTTCATTTATCTGCCACCCAACCATTCTCTGGAAGCTTCCTGGTCTCTGACAGCACAAGAATTATTATTATTAGCACAGAACACAAGGAGGTGAGGTCCTGGGGAGCAAGCACAGGCAGAGCTTTATGGTGTGTTTACAAAAGGTGGCCGAAAAGGTGACATCAGTATGTACAGAAATGCAGCTGCCACGTCGACACTGTGCGTGGCTGTGGGTTGTGGTCGTCTGGGAAAAAAAGGTGTAAACCTGCTGTGATGAAAACAGCAGGGATAATTTGGGCAGGAAAAAAGAAATCTTCCTTTGTTGTTCTCAAAGCACACCTTTCTTATCGTAACATTTGTGATTAGTGGGTATTCTGGGCCTGCTGAAGTCAGTGCCTTTGTCCCGAAGATCCACATATGAGAAGGTCTGGATTGGCGGATCCACCAGCACTTCATGTGTGCCGGCACGTTTCTATCCTGGCTCCCTCCTGCGATGCCTTCCTCCTCCTCCTCCCCTGCAGACCGTGTGCTTTGGCAGTGCCGCTTCCCCCTCTGATCCTTATCTTGGCTGCCGGGCTTGCGGGGCTCGAGGGCGCGTTCCTGCCTGGCAGCCAAACAGCGCAACCCCGGGGCTGAGCCGCAGGAATGCGCTTCCCAGAGAGCTCGGCGTTTGGAACGGCAGCCTGTGTTTGGTAACACAACCCGGCCGTGACTGCTGGAAAACGTTACCCTCCACCTCTGGGCCGGGGCAGCTAGAAGAGGCTTTAAAATCACAAATTAAAATACAAATACAACGGGGAGAAGGAAAGCCATCCTGGCAAAGGGAAGACAAGGTGATCAGCAACGCTCATCACACACTTGAGCTTGTTTTCTCTGATTATGATTGACCCTTAGGAAGGGGTTTGGGGGCACCAAACTGACCAAGCCCTGTTCAGTTATCGATGAACACAACCTCAGAGCCAGCAAGACCCTTAGATGGGCTCGAGGAGCCGCCTGAGCCTGATTTAGCCCAAATTCCCCTTTTCCCATCTGAGCTCTGAGGATGGCAGCCTCCATCCTTAAATTAGCTGGAGGGTGCTGGGAGAGCTGCTTGTAGGGCCAAGAGTTCCACAGGACAGCAGGAGGAAGGAGCCCATGGGACTCGCCTTGGTTTCCATCAGCTTGGTTTGCTGCGCTGCAATTTTTGACTTAATTACATTGTTTGCAAAAGGAGAGTTTGTAAATGCTTGTCACCAGGAGAACAAAGTTACATAATTAAACTATTTAGCAGAGTCTGTGGCTTCAGTGCAGTTCTCTGGGGTGATTCAGCATTCCAATAAAAATACTGTGTGATACCATAAATATTGTAAATGGCTCTAGATGGTTTCCAAGGGCTATGTCAACTGCTTTTTTGCATTCAAAGAGAAAAGAATAAGTGAAATCACGGGGAAGATAAAATTTAAATAAATAAAATAAATGGGAAAATAAAGCAAAAATATTTTCTTTCCTATTTTGAAAGCTCTGGAGGATGTTTTTGGCCAGCATGAGAGAAGACTGTCATGTTTACCAGAATAATGAACTGAGGATATCTCTGTGCACTTGCTTATAGGTTGTGTATGTGTGTCTATGGGGGCATCTGAGCACGGATGCTTAGATAAAATCTGCCCACAACATGGGGAAAAACCTTTTTTGTTATTTGAGTGTTTGTGGCATTTGCAAATTCCAGCCACAGAGCCCAGGAATGCATATCTTTCCCTGGCCAAGCTGTCAATCTCCTGTCACAGCGAGGGCAGCTGAAGGAGGATGCCACGGGTGGCCAGACTTGAGGGATTGGATTATCTGTATCATTGAGAACTTGGAAAGGTTGTTTAAAAGTTGTTACTGAAGAAAGACAAATATTTGCCAGGCATGATCCCACCGTGCAATGACAAGTAAGCTGTATGGAATGTGTTAATAAAATATAAATGCTCTGAAAAGGAAACAAATGTTGTGGATGTGAAAACAAGGGCAAAATGGACTTGTGGCACCTCCAAAAGCAACAATTGAGAACATATTTACATGGACTGGGCTGAATTCTCTTGTGTCTTCTGAGGAACATAAATTGCAGTGTGTGCAGATTGGCCAGTAGAGCAGTGGTTTTTCAGGGTGCCATAAAAACCCAAATACTGCTCCAAATATATTGAGGTTTGTCCATCTTCTGCTAAGATGGAGATGTGGGTCTTGGCTGCTCAAGGAAGGGGAGTCACCTGACTCACTGAATGAGTGGCCTGTGACAGACCTGGAGCAGAGGCTTTGGTGCTGCCCAGCGTGGGGACCTGAGGTCACGCCACGCCCTGCTGCAGGCTGGCAGTCCCCTGCAGCCTACGGGCAAATCCCTTCCCTCCCCCAGCCACAAACGGGGCAGCTGCAGTGGATCGGCACAGGCTCCAGCAGAGGCTTTTGGCACATGAAGGGCCAAGAGCCAGTGGTGGATCATCCTGCTGCTGATGTCCCAGAGGTGGAGTTGCCCCAGTGCTGGAGCATCCTGGTGGTGTTGTCCCGGGGGTGGTGTCCCAGGGGTGATGCTCTGGCAGGGGGCTCTGAGGTGGCGCTGGGAACACCTCGGGGGGGAACCACGAGATCCCACTTGCCACTTTGGGAAGATGCACACCCAACATCTCCCTCGCAAGCCCAGGGGCAGCTGCTGGACTCGCTGTTGCACTGGCAGAAACACGGAATGCACTGGCTGGGGAAGGGTCAGGAACGAGTTCCACCATCCTGCAGCTACTCAGT